AAATTTTAATTAATACATTAATTAATAACATGTACTAACAAGTAATGGTGGTCGTTATTTACTCAAACTCATATGACTTGTCATTAACAATAGTTTATGATTAGCACATGCCTTATCATTAATTCATAATAATGTAATGTTTAGTTTACATATTAGTACATCTATATTCATGTTCTGTTATCATAAATTGTTCCTGATTTATTCACACTCTGCTTTATTATTTTAAGTCATTTCACATCCAGTAATTCAAAATATTGTAATTCTTCCGGTGCTATTAACACACGGAGCACTCACACTAGTTAAACAAACGAGAACTGAGTGGTCAAATGCACTCATGCACGGTTCAGATGACCTAGTGTGACATGGATGTCAGTGTGTTCTGCACCATTTTGGCGAACAGATAGTTATAAAAATCTTTGTTTGCACATCTTTGCCTGAAGAGTCAAATATGAACAAAGCAATATTACAATACACATCAAGGAATGAGGGGTCGTCACAGCAGAATGAACCAGCATTTGCTTTACGCAGTGGATCCTGCAACGGAGCAGACAATTTAGCTTACCCAATTCACCCATAGCGCATGTCTTTGGATTGTGGGGTAAAACAGAGCACCCGTAGGAAACCCACGTGAACACATAGAGAACATACACACTCCACACAGAAATGCCAAATGACCCAGCCAGGGCGGGAATCCGCGACCTTCTTGCTGTGAGGCAATTGTGCAACCCACTGCATCACTGTGACGCCATGAATTCCTTAACTTTTATGTACTAATGATCTGTGAGCTCACCTGTCTTTCTCCATGCTTGCCCTGGATCTCCACATAGTCATCTGTCACCTTGACACTGAGCTCATCAGGAGAGAAATGTTTCACATCCAGATAAACTGTAAATTTTTCTCTGTCAGACCTCACCTGGAAAAATAGTGAGCAAAAGAGAAAAAGCGTTGGACATCAACTTTAAAACAGCTAGTTTTAGAGCATATAATTGGAGGTAAATCCAAAACTTCTTGCTGGTGATTTGGTTAAATTTCAATATAGTTTGTCATTAGATGGATTAAATGTACTTAAATTTCTAAATATTTGTTTATAGCACTGTATCTGTCAGCTTTGTTAGTTTGTACAATTTAGTCTGAATTTGAATCTTGTCCATTATCTTGCTTCATTTTTATGATTCATTTCAATTTCATTTCTGAAGGAAAAACTTTAAGGATTCCTTTACTTAAATTTTTTTAGTATATGAATCCCCCCTGACCCCCGCACACACAACCTTCACCCCGCTCCCGCATAGTGGTTTTCAGCATCATTTAAGTTAGTAAATCAAAATATTCTCTCAATTAGCAATAAAGTAATTCAATACCTCAGAGACACCTGAGTTGGAGGAGTCCAGGATGTTGCGGAAGAGTGAGTGTCGATAGTAAGGGCTGACAGTTGAAGTGGTGAAGGGGAATAGGTCATAATCGAACAGGCCTTCTCCAAAGAACTGATCAAAGAGTCGGGTGGGGTAGCCCAGTGTGCGTCTGAACCAAGGGTGTTGGATCGCAATATCCATAATGTCAGACCTGGTAACTCCTTACTGTAACTTATTGCACCTGATGAACAAAAGATGTGAACTGAACGCAAGTAGGAGGCTAATAGAGGCTAGTACAGTACAAAGATCCCCAAATGATGTGTGCCGGCCTTAGTGGAGGCAGACCCCTGGTTATATACCTGTGCTGCAGAAAGAGGGGCTTACAAATGGATCTCTCTGGAATGGCATTATCTCATGGTGGGAACAGTGTTGTCAGCAGAATCAGCGGGGTGGACTCTGACCTGAGAATGACAGTCTAGCACTGAATGGCTCAGACAATACTCTTGTGGCCAACTATCACCGGAAAATAAGTGCCTGCCAAAACAAACCAGACCAGATGAAGCTACATGGCTGTAGAACGTCAGTATTTAATGTGTTGTGGCCACTTGGTTCACCAGATTTAAGAGCTAATTTTTTTAAATATCACAGATAATCAATCGCTTTTTTTTTTCTTGACTGAAAAGCTTAGACTGGAAAATTCTTTGAAAAAGTTTGCACTACAGAAAATAAATACATAACATCCTGCACTGAATGCACACTATTAATAGAAAAGAGAGCATTATTGTAGGAAATGTATTGTATATGTACATTCTGTGCATTTCACAATTTTATGTTGAAAAGCATATAAATCTGGATTTATTGGATCAAACTATTATAAACATATAATACTGTAAGATAGTCATTACAGTTTGAATAACTACATATGCATAGGCTGAAACTATTTACCAATGCAAGTTTCTCTGAAGATCGTTTATTGCCATATTAAAAATGACAATTTAAGGACAAATCAGGAGTAATAAGATTTATTGTTTTGCCATACTTACTGAACTGTTATTCAAAACTGCTGTTTTGAAGTCATTATGTTAATTAGCTTACCACACTAAATAAATATATTCCATGCATGTGATTAAGCTAAGTAGGAGATCTGCCCAAATCAAATTTATTATCACAAAACATTCATTCATTTATTTTATTTTCAGCTAAGTCCCTTTATTAATCAGGGGTCTCCACAGTGGAATGAACTGCCAATTTATCCAGCATATATTTTACACAGCAGATGCCCTTTTAGCTGTAACCCATCACTGGGAAACACCCAAATACTCATTCACACACATGCACTACAAACATATTTAGCTTAGTCAACTCACCTATAGCGCATGTCTTTGGACTGTGGGGGAAACCGGAGCAGCTGCAGGAAACCCATGCCAACACAGGGAGAACATGCAAACTCCACACAGAAATGCCAACTGACACAGCCGAGGCTCTAACAAGTGACCTTCTTGCGTTATTACCCACTGTGCCACTGTGTCGCCAAGTTTTTTATTTATTCGTTTTTGGCAACAGTAAGACAATAAAAAGTTTCTTTACATGGCTGCCAATAGACTGAAATGTGTTTAACCAGAAAAACTTTAAGGATCTTAGGCAGTATCACCAAAGGAATTAAAATATTTGATCAAAGCAGTGAAGGAAAAACCCTCAATTTAATGCTTACAAGATGAACTTATGAAATAGAAAAACATTTCAAGGGCTATAAAAACTTTAGGCTTGATGGGGTGGCGTAGTGGGTAGCGCTGTCACCTCACAGCAAGGTCGCTGGTTTGAACCTCGACTCGGTCAGTTGACTTTTCTGTGACATTTGCATGTTCTCCTGGCATCAGTGTGGGTTTCCTCCGGGTGCTCCGGTTTCCCCAACACGTCCAAAGACATGCAGTACAGGTGAAATGGGGTAAGCTAAAATTGTCTGTATGTATGTGTGTGAATGAGTGTATGGGTATTTCCCAGTGATGAATGATTGAGGGAATAAAAACTATACAAGCATGGACATCATGCCAGGACACTGCTGACATTAAAGCTGACTATAATACGCTAACATTTATTTAAAAAAAAGGAAATGTATTATGGATTGATTTGTCCATGCTGCAGCTTTGTGGACCCATGTATCATTGTACCCCTTAGGGAATGGAAGCAGAAGAACATCATCTTTAAAGTCAAATGTGGGCGTGGGAAAGTCTTGATATATGAACGCTTTGCTGTTGTAGGACAATAAACACAAGGAATACATCCAAATCCACTGAAGCTTGATTCATGAAACAAGTGACAATATGAACAACATAGAAACATGAAGATTTTTCAAGTGATGAATGAGCCACAATTCCAGTAAAGGCTTTTTAAGAACTTTATTGAAAGACTTGTGGAGGTTGAGTAATATTGCACATGAATGTCTACAGGCAATAAGGTTTTCTTTGTTGACTTTGTCCTCAGAATCACACAAATGTGCACTGGAAAATTTGAGTTTCAGGAGTTCACACACAGATATTTGACTGAATAGAATATGCAAATTAGGCATGAGGTCCTGGGAGAGGGTCCTGAGTTTGTAAATAAACCCTAACTTGTATTATTCCCTTTATAAACATAGAGAGGGAGATTGGGGTCCAAGCGCAGCGCATAACCCCATTCCAACACGCTCCCCCACCCTCTGATTTATGTAGGAATTGGGTTAAAAGGTATAGAGTATGGTTGGGGAAGGGATGCTGAAAGTCAAGAGAAAACAGAGGTAGGTGATGGGTAAAGATGTTTAATATAAGGGCAAGTAAATTTTGAACTAATGCACACTACATAAATTCTATAAATTTGCTTAATATATATGTATCCACTTAAACTTGTAATAAGTATATATAGTGTACTTTGTAAGTGATACACATAAAAAAATGGCTTTGCAAAGGCATTGTAAGGTGTTATGTGTGGAACATTTAACTCATCTGTTATCAGTTGGACCAGTGCAGCTCTGAACTGATAATTCCGATCCTAGATGTGATGACTTCCCCTCTGGTTTGTCAGGCAGCATTAGAGTAATCCCTAGGGGCTTTTACTTGGCACGCTGGTGAGGCTTAACTGTAAACCACCAGCAGGTCCGTTTTCCACACCACAGACTCAGAGTTGGCAAACAGACCTCAGCCATGGGAGGGGTGCACTGGTCAGTGGAGTTAGGATGGGTGACCAGGCAGGCCACCGGATGGATGGTTTATTCTTTGGCCAGGTTTTAGCTCAGTCAGCAGCTTTTGTTTGAAGCTTTCTCTCAGTGAACAGCGTCATGAACAGAACTAACGCAAGAGCTTGAGATAAAAATACACTTTAATCAAGACTAAAGGGAGAATGAAAACACCTTTATCTTTTATGCTTCAGTATCTTTGTAGTAAATAAGCATTGAATGGAGGCCAGAAATGGAACAAAGTGTTCAGTTAAAAATAATACATCTTGAAAATCTAAACACTCACTGTGTTCTCGAATAGATCCTCCAGACAAAAAAAAGGTTAATCAAAACATATTTGAAGCAAACAGTATCTACTTATTTCTTTGTTATATAGCAATTTACAAACATTTTTATAAATAGAGAGATAAGAAGGCTAGAATAATCCAAAATACAACAAAAATACTAAACAATTTTTTATTTGTTATTGTACACAAGCACTACTTTAAAGAATTTGGTGCAAAGGTAGTTGTTTAAAAAACAGCATCCAAAATTATAGCAGCAAATGCAAACAATAATTGGATATGACAAATAAATAAAACATGCCAGTTGATTAATAATAAAGATTAATTAAATTGACCTCATTGGACACTTTACAATGTGATGCTTTATCCAGGGTGCTGTTAATTGATTGATTGTTTGCAGAAGTCATGTAGTGACTCTTTAAAATCACATTAAACAAGTCAAATAAAAACAGGTCAAATTTGTCTTCTTCTTCTTTGTTAATAAATGCAAGTTGTGCAACCGGTGATTTTTGATGTCAGCACTATATCAGAATTATGCAGGAAAACTTAAGCACAGTAATGCCAGTTATGAGTAAAACAAATATGCAAAAACTTGGGACAGTAAAATTATCTAAAATTATTTTAAACTGTTTTGATGCTTGGGCTAGAAGGAAATCTTAATAATAAACCACATGCCAGAGTAATTGGTGGTTAGTTCACTGGGCAACCCTTGCTAAATCAGGGATTAGGCAAGGCAAGGCAAGTTTATTTATATAACAAATGCTATACACAATGGAATTTCAAAGTGCTTTACATAAACATGAATAAAATAAAATATAAAATAAAAATGATTAAAAGAATTAAAAATGATCCAAACTGATTACAATGTGTTAAAACAGGTGATAAAAGACATCATAGTGCAAACTGTCGGACGTAGCACAGTGCTCATTCAGGAAAGGCAGCTAAACAGATGTGTTTCAAGTCTTGATTTGAATGTGCCTAATGTGACCCTATGTGACTGAGCTGAATTAAAGTGAGAGTGAAGTGTTCTGATGCTTTCCAAGGTAACTTTAGATTTGTTTACATATGTTTTGTATTCTTTTGAATTTAAGATGAAAAGAAATAAGCAAGAAATAAAGTTGTAAAAAGCAGACCAGACCTAATGCTGAAATTTAAATGTAACTAATTTATGACATCTATTTCTCCATTGTTGAATCTTGGTAGTGCATCACATTCAGACTGAAGCAGGATGTAAAGCATTCAGTATTCATCGGCTGTTTCTGACATAGTTCTCTCTCTTTTCTCTCGAGCAGTCACAAAGTTGAGAAGATCAATGGCAGTCACCACTCCAAACACCATTTGCTTTTGAGATGAGGAGCCATCTGTAAGATCTAAATAAAAACAAAAAATCATTCATTATTAAAAGCAATTCAAGCAAATGTCTTGACACAAGCACTGTTGTCTTGCTACAGTTGCTTAACAATAGTTTTCCAATATGTCACATTTGTAAAATTCATTGATTTTTACTTTCATGTTTAATACCATAAAAGGTGCTTTGAAAAAAAGTTCAAACCTACATTTATATTTAGTCATTTAGCAGGCACTTTTGTCCAAAGCGACTTACAACTGTGGAAGCATTTACTGATTCAACAAGAGGCAATACACACAAGAAGTGCTAATTATACAAAGGAAGTGCTAGTGCTCAGAGAATTAGGTGCTAGGTGCTAGTAAAGTGTTTACTAGAATAAAGTCATGCGTTTAGTGCATATATGTATGTATGTATATATATATATATATATATATATATATATATATATATATATATATACACAGTTGAAGTATATAAGTCAGTATGTCTGATAATATTTTTTTTCTTCTGGAGAAAGTCCTGTTTGATTTCACCTAGAATAAAAGCAGTTTTTAATTTTTTAAAACCATTTCAAAGGTAAATGTTTAGCCCCTTGAAGCTATACATTTTTTCGATAGTCTACAGAACAAACTATCATTATACAATAACTTGCCTAATTACCCTAACCTGCCTAGTTAACCTACTTAAGCCTTTAAATGTCACTTGTTAGCTGTATAGAAGTGGGTTGACAAATATCTAGTAAAATATTATTTACTGTCATTATGGCAAAGATAAAACAAATCAGTTACTAGAGATAAGTTATTAAAACTTATGGTTAAAAATGTGTTGAACAAAAATCTTATTTGATTTAAAAAATAAAAAGGGGGGTCTGACTGTTGATGCATTTCTCTCTGGAGCATTGGTGACCAAGATAGCAACTCTCTGTGATCTATCAAGAGACACAGTTTCTACAATGTCACCATACCACTAAGAAAGACGAGCCAAAGAAGATGTGTGAATTGGATATCTGGGTGCTATCCAAAAAACATAAAACCACAGCTGCCCAACTCACTGTAGAATTAGTTTGTTGGGTGCTCTACGGGGTCATTATACATGGCCAGGCTGCTATAGCACCTTTGGTCAATCATGCCAATGACAAATGCTGGTTTCAATGGTGCCAGCAGTAAAAATCTTGGACTGGACAATGTAAAACACGTATTGTTCTCTGATGAGTTCACCTTCACTGTCTTTCCCACATCCGAAAGAGTAACGGTGTGGAAAAGCCCCAAAGAAGTATACAGTACCACTCAGACTGTTGCACAACTGGAGTGAAGCATATGATGGATTAGGGATGGTTTGTGCCGCAATATCATGGAAGGTAGACAGTAGAATCTGAAGATTCACCATATCAAAAGCAGCAGACAGGTCCAAGGTTCAGATCCTTTCCAGCGTTTTAGCGATAAAAGGAATGGGAGGGACCTGTCTGTAATTTTCAACCATTGAAGTGTTGAGCAGTGGGGTTCCCCAGGCCTGCTTAAAAGTGGTTAAGAATGAGTCAGTGTGAAGTGTTAGTTTTGTGTGTTAGGGCTGGAACTATGGCGAGGGAAATGTGCTGCCAGATGTGTGAGGGAATGGGGTCCAGAGAGCACGTTGTGGTATGGGCAGAGATGAGAATTTTGTATACCTCTCCCTCTGTAAGGATGGAGAAGCAGGTGAGTGAATGTCCTTCAGAAGGTGTTGTTTGATGGAGATTTGGGTTGTTTGTGGTGGGAAACAAAATACTAAATTAAGGGTTTTTTGTGTGTGAAAAAGGAGGCTAAATTATAAGCTCATAAGGAGGTGATGGAGGAGAAGAGAATATGGTATTAAATGTCCTGATTAGTTTGAAGGTGTCTAAAGTGCTGTTGATTTTGCTAAATGAAGTTGTAAACTTGGCAACCATCGTCAATCAAAATTCTAGGTCAAATCAACATTGAAAAATGGTTTATTCATAAAAAATTTAAAATAATAAATTGGTATAATAGACTAATTCAAAAACAAACAAAAAAATAATTATAAAAATATTTATCTGGCAAACCTATTGCTCCTGGCTGTGACAATGTTCAAGACTCAATCTAATGACCAAATACTTCTTTGGAAAGACATCAGCTTGATGGCAGTATATTTCCTGTACAATTCTGATATTTGGCTCCATGTCAACGGTACATTTGTACACAAACATACCCAGTCATGCATAGTGTTTGCTCTGCTGCAGCCCCATACCATACAGACCTTTGCTTTTGCATCTGTCCCTCATGAAAGTCTAAATGACCCAATTTTTTGTAAAAGCTCAAGGCAAATAACAAACTTGATTGCATTTCTTGATTTCATTGTAATTTACAAAATGCGCCAACTTTTCGGGGTTGTGCATCTAGTTCAGGGATAAGCGAATTCGGTTCTGGAATGCCACTGCCCTGCAGAGTTTTGCTCCATCCCTAATTAAACACACCTGCCTGAAGCTTTCTAGTGTTTTTAAGACACAAACGAGATTAGATTGTTCAGGTGTGTTTGATTAGTGTTGGAGCAAAACTCTGCAGCACAGTGGCTCTCCAGGACCGAAGTTGCCCATTCCTGATCTAGTTATATGATATTAATTTTGTAAAAAACATATGTCAGTCTGAGATACCCTGCTGAAAATCCAGCTTAAACCAGCCTAGGCTGGTTGGCTAGTTTTAGAGAGGTTTTGGCCACTTCCAGGCTGGTTTCCAGCCATTTCCAGCCTGATCTTAGCTGGTCAGGCTGGGAGATGACCAGCTAAAACCAGCTTGACCAGTCTGGCCAAGCTGGGAGTCCAGCCAAAACCAGCTATATCCAGCTTAAACCAGGCTGGTCAAGCTGGTTTTAGCTGGATTTGGCTGGTCATTTTCCAGCCTGACCAGCTAAGACCAGGCTGGAGATGGCTGGAAACCAGCCTGGAAATGGCCAAAACCCCTTTAAAACCAGCCTGGTCAACCAGCTAAAACCAGCCAACCAGCCTAGGCTGGTTTAAGCTGGATTTTTCAGCAGAGTACTGTGCATGCATAAGCATTGGAATAATTAAAAACACAATAAAAATTAGGTACTGTAGTGTCTGTCATTTAAACATTTAAATTATATTATGGCATTATAACCATTCCATTTCTGATCTGACCTAGCCAGTATGAATATGTTTTTTTTTAAGTGTACTTACAGAGAGTACACTTGAGTGATGAGGGCTTTAAAACAAAATGTAAGTTCATATGTTATGAATATTTCAAATTCGTTTTTGCTTCTGTTGACATGTTGGCTAATCTAATAAAGCATATGTAAAATATGCGATTTTAATTCCAATGTATGTTATTAAAGTCTACATCTCTAAATTAATTTAAAAAATGTTTAGCATATATACTGTGATGTTTATACTATTGAGCCATAAAGCATTAAACTTTAAAAAATTAATTGTAATACGCATACACACACACACACTCACACACTTAAGGATTCATATAACATTAACAAAAATGCTTACATTAGACTTACATTATCAAAATTATGTAGATGTTTTATAATATTTTCAATTGTTTTTCAAATTAATTGCCTGTAAACATATTTAGATTGACACTTTAACCAAATGTAAAAACTGCACATATTAAGATTAAAGTCTTAAGTGTTTAAAGAATACTCTTATATTCAATTAACTACATTTAATTTCCTTTTTTTATATAAAATGTATACACATTTATGTTTTACTTTAACTCATATAGTTGTTACCTTGACTACCTCTCTTTTCTTACATACAGTAAACTGACCAACAAAAGAAAAAACTGGACCAGGTGGACATCCATCCAAGTAAACATCAGGGATAGATAACAAAATAATAGATTACTTTTAATAAAACTAATATAATGTAAAGTCAAAAGTTTATGGAGGTAAATCAGATTTCCTCCCGTTTAAGTTTGAGTTTAAATGGTATGAATAGTTAATGCACATTATTCAAGCAATGAGAAATCATTACTTAACACTATTTAGTATGTCAGACCATGAAAAACTAACACTTACATTGAATTTGCTCATGAACCACCAGGGCAAAGTGATCAGTTTCCAAGATCCGAGACAACTTTCCCATATTGTCAGTCAGACGAATCTAAAACAGGCAACATGGAGGATGTAAAGTCAGATGAGGTAGGCAAGTTGAAAATTTTCTTTCTACAACTCCTGCACTAACCCCACCTGCTTAAACTGTTTATAGAGCACTTTGCTGACGGGGTCAGAAGGCTTGACTTTTCCTGCTAGAACAGAAGCAAGCATGTTTCCCAGAGTCACCATACCCAGAATCAACCTGCAGTGAGGAAGCCAAACATAAGTGCATTCTATTCTTAAATTGAATGTTGTGGAATATCTTTTTAATACATGTGTTTAATATATAAGTAGCGGTATATTTAATATATTTCCAATACATTAAATTATATTATTATAATCTAATAGTTTTTTTTTAGTTATCATTTTTAGGTCAATAAGATCCACTCACCCAGCTTCATTTACGACAGGTGCCTGGTCAAAGCCCTTATCTTTCAAGATTTTAATAGTTTTTTGGCATGTGACTGTAGGCAGCACAGTAAGTGGAGCAGAGAGGTTTAAACTTTGTAGTTTGAGATTCCACCACCTGGAAGAAATTAAAGGACAAAGAATGAACAAAGAATCCAAAATTAATGAGAGGTTGCACTAGTTCTAAATAGCAGACTGCATAATAGTCATAAATAAAGTACTGTATGTTTAATATAGACGAGTGGGGCCAGCTGTCACACAGTGACCTATGCATAATATCTCAATAACTATACAGTATATTATTATATTTTCCCCTCAAAAAGTTACATTTCATCAAAAGGTAAAAATGTATAAAATTTGTTTTATAATTAAAAAAAGACTGACCAGCTTAAATGTGTTCAAGACGAAACAATATTTCAATAATGGCAGGTTAGGGTAAGTTAAAAGTAAATGTTATACATCTGTTATTTTAAATACCTGTTAATTTCAACAAATACATACATACATACATACACACACACACACACAAACACTAGAACACAATAAAGACAGTAAAGATATAATGACATCTAATGCTTATATGACAAAAAAATCTTCTCTTTACCAGGGTTTATTCACCATGATGTCTTCCACCCTTAGAAAGCCCTTCTGGAACATCCACTTATCACTCAAGAACTTAGACCTTAAGAGGGAATTTTCAACAAAATAATTAACAGCAATTCCCACTGCAAGCCACCCTTAGGAAAAAGTATATGTTGTTCATTAAATTAAGTCTACTTAAATAACGTTCAAGTACATTTTAAGTGCAGTATACTTAAGATAGTAAGTATAATAAAATATACAGGGGTTGGACAATGAAAATGAAAAGCCTGGTTTTAGACAAAAATTAATTACTAGTATGGTGTAAGTAGGGCCTCCTTTTGTGACCAATACAGCATCAAGTCCTGCACAGTGGCCAGAGGTATTTTGAGCCATACTTCTTGCAGAAAAGGGGCCGGGTCACAACATGATGCTGGTGGAGGAAGACATTTTCTGACTCGCTCCTCCAAAACACCTCAAAGTTGCTCAACAATTTTTAGATCCAGTGATTGTGCAGACCATGAGACATGTTCCACGTATATGTTCGTCAAACCACTCTGTTACCAGTTTTGCTGTGTGTATTGGGGCATCATCACCCTCGTAATTTTTTAACCAATGAGTGCACATGGTCCTCTGGGATGGTTTAGCAACTACTGGGCCTAGGGAATGGCATGACATTTCAGCCCAAACCATCACTGATCCACTATTATGCTTCAAACTTGGCATGTAACAATCTGAGTGGTTTACTTCTTTGCGGCTTCTCCACACCGCCACTCTCATAAAAGTGGATAAGACAGTGAAGTTGGACTCAAGAGAGAACAATACATGTTTCACATTGTCTACAGCCCAAGATTTTTATTGGCACAATTGAAACCAACATTTGGAATTGGCACAAGTGACCAACAGTTTGGCTACAGTAGCCCGGCCATGTCTATTGTTCCTCTGGAGCTCGCGACGAACAGTTTTGGTCAAGTCAGGAGAGTTTTAATTTAATTCTGCAGTGACTTGGGCAGCTGTGATTTTATGTTTTTTGGATACAATATTTATTGTTATATTTATTATATTTTACATAGAATTAAAAACACTTATTCCAAAATAGCAAACTTAACAGTAGCAAAATGACAATTAATTTGGCTGCAAGTATACTTTTATACCATAAATGTACCATTTCTGAATACAAAAATCTTTAGTGATAACTTCAGCTTAATCTAAATATGCTTCTACAAATAGCACATTTTGTCCTCAGTAAAAAAAATAAAAATAAAAATGCTACTGCTATTTCTCACAGAAAAGTGTTGCATTAACACATTTTGCTATATATATATATATATATATATATATATATATATATATATATATATGTTTATTCCCTTTGTGCGTATTAATAAAAATAAATAAATAAATCTATTTAAAAAAAATGGCTGTTCAAAATTGACACCCTTTCAAAATTGTTGACAAATAAGATTGTCTGTATTTGGACAGAACTGTGTGTAGGTATAGTGATATATGAGTGATATAAACACAATAAGTCTCTTTTTTTATTTACTGATGTTAAAACAGGATCCAAATTCCTTTAATTTTGAGGCTCACCGCAACATGATGTAGGAGTGTGGTTTTTCCTGCCCACCGAATTTATTGACAGCCACATATTATCATGTCTCCATTGTAACGCACATAATCATATCCACAAGACTTGTGCAAAGCAACTTTGATTAAAAGATCTGTTCAGCTCTCTATGATCAGCTGCACTTCAAGAATATGAATATTCATCCAGCATTGTATATTACCGTGTGTCCTGTCACTTATGCCATGTAAAAACAGAGCAAAGTTAAGTGTGTGTGTGTGTGTGTGCCTGCGTGCGTGCGTTTTTGTGTGTGTGTATTTTTTTTAACAGAACTGTACTAATAGCACACTTTATAAATTGTACTTATACATTGTATTGCAACCATGTGGTAAAGTTGAAAATTAGTGGAAAACCACGAGTGAAAATATATTTTAAGTACTTTATTAACTAAAGTAATTTAGTTACATCTAATATTAAATTTAACCAGTCTGTGTGTTTTTCCTGAAGAAAAACTAATAAATATATAATAAAATTGAATACGCTTGCAGCCAAATCTTATGCAACTCTCTGACTTGTCTCTCTGACACTTATACTGTCATATACTTTTGCAGGCAGCAAGCTCTCTGCAATTCAGTAGTTCCTGGATGGGAGACCACATGAGAAAGCTAGGTTGCTGCTGGAAGTGGTGTTAGTGAGACCAGCAGGGAGCGCTCAACCTGTGGTCTGTGTAGGGACTCTATACTGCTCAGTGAACGCTGCCGTCTTTGCTGAAGAGACGGTAAACCGAAGTCCTGACACACTGTGGTTGTTAAAAATCCCAGGATGTCCTTCGAAAAACAGAAGGGTTTTAACCCCGGCATCCTGGCAAAATTCGCCCACTGGTCTCTATCTCATGGCCTCCCAGCATCCCTATATCATTGTTGGCTTCATCACACTTTCTCCTCTCCACCTATCAGCTACTGTTAGGTCTGCGATGGCACACAATATGGGTGCCATCGCGTCACCCAGGTGGATACTGCACACTGGTGGTAAATTGAGATTCTCACCAAAAATGTGTAAAGTGTTTTGAGAATCCAGAAAAGCACTAAATAAATGTAAGGAATTATTAATATTAATATACTTACATGTAGTTGCGAATTGAGTCTGGCAAAATCACAACACACCGCTGTCCTTCCTTCAGCTCTTTGGCAAATTTTACTGCAGCTGCCATGGCAGTGCCTGAACTACCACCTGACAGAAGAGACAAAAATGCAAACAATGCAGTGTATACTTACAGGTACAAACTACAATAATGATATTACTTATCATACATATTAAGCCACAATTTGTTAACATATATGTAAATGCATAAGTTAGGTTTTCTGGTTTGCTTAAAAACATTTCTTGAACTATGCCTCGTAAACTAAACTCTTGTTCGTCCCACTTAAATCACAGTAATACATGTCTGGCTACCCCCATAGAGACTTCGATCTATTAAGAATCAAACCAGAAACTAAAAAGTGAAAATACAAATTTTGTAAAGCTTGGTCTCCTAGACATTAGGTCACTAGCACCTAAAGCACTTATCATAAATGAAATAAAAGATAACAATCTTAATGCACTCTGTCTCACAGAAACCTGGCATCTGCAACCGCTGAGCACCTCCGCAAACTGATAGAAAACAATCATAATAATCCAGGATTTTTATTTAACACCATTGCTAAATTAACAAATAATTGGTCATTTTTGGAACAACCGCAAATTAGTAGTGATGACTTCATGATTTTTTTTCACTGATAAAATAGAAGGCTTTAAACTAGGGGTGGCCAACCCTGTTCCAGGAGAGCCACCTTCCGGCAGATTTCAGTTGCTACCCATATCAAACACACCTTCCTGTAATTATCATTTGGTGTTTAGGTCCTAATTAATTGGTTCAGGTGTGTTTGACAGGAACAGGGTTGGTCACCCCTGCTTTAGACAGAAAATAGAAGATGTTAAACTTTCTGCACCGCCTTATACTTCAGATCTAGTAAACATTTCACTGAATCAAAATAACCTACAGTGCTTCAAGATCATAGAACAGGAAGAGCTAGATAAAATTATAAATAGTTCTAAACCAGCTATGTGTATGTTGGACTCAATTCCGACAAAATTAGTGAAAGAATTGCTACCTGTTATAGGAAAATCTCTACTTAACGTTATCAACTCTTCTTCATCTTTAGGCCATGTTACTTTCAAGCTAGCTGTTATTAAGCCTATTATTAAGAAACCGCAACTGGATCCCAGCAATTTAGCTAATTATGGGCCTATTTCAAATCTTCCATTTATGTCTAAAATACTAGAAAAAGTTGTTTTGCCCAATTATGCTCCTTTCTGCAGATGAATAATGTTTTTGAATTGTTTCAGTCAGGTTTCAGGGCTCATCACAGTAACCGCATTAGTGAAAAAAACCAATGATTTACACTTAGATACTGACCAAGGGGTGCATATCGCAGTTAATTTTACTCGATCTTGGTGCCGCATTTGACACCATTGACCACAATATCCTTATAGACCACTTAAATTCTACAGGTGTACAGGGACAGTACCTACAATGGTTTAAATCATACCTAGCTGACCGTTATCAGTTTGTGAATATTAATAGACAGCTTTCACAAATCAGGCCAGTAAAGCATCACCTTAAGTACCTTAAGCATCAGTTTTAGGCCCTTTGCTGTTTAGAACATACATACTACCCCGGAGAGACATTATTAGAAGACATGGGATCAGCTTTCACTGCTATGCAGATGACACTCAATTATATATTTAAACTAAACCTGATGAGACGTCTGAACTGTCTAAGCTAACTGAGTGTATTAAAGATGTTAAAAGTCTGGATTACCAACAATTTCCTTCTCTTAAACTCAGACAAAACAAAATTATTACTTATTGGGCCTAAATCCTGTACATAGCAGATCTCACAACTCAACCTGGAATCAGAAGGATACAAAGTTAGCATTAGCTCTACTATAAAAGATCTGGGTGTCATATTAGACAGCAATTTAACTTTGGAAAATAATATATCCCATGTCATAAAAACTGCCTTCTTTCATGACTTTTAGGCTGGATTACTGTAATGCTCTGTTTACTGGTTGCCCAGTACCCTCTATTAACAAACTTTAACTAGTACAAAATGCATCTGCCAGAGTTCTTACCAGGTCTAGAAAATATGATCATAACACCCCAATTTTATCCTCCTTACACTGGCTGCCTGTTAAGTTTCGTATTTATTTTAAAATATTGCTTCTTACCTATAAAGCTTTAAATAATCTAGCTCCTGTTTATCTAACCAACTAGATTCAAAACTAGATTAAAGCCATATCTTTTAATAAAGCATACACTCAATGCATCACATAGGGGTATAAAGTGTGAATTTGCTCTACGCAGGGTTTTTTTTTTTTACATCTCGTTTGTATACACTATGAAGCTTTATTCTCTTTATTCTATATTTCCACCTGGGGATACTCATCCCAAGGCCCTCAGAGACTATGCAGCGCCACTGATGTGATCCAAGACCAGCGACGAGATGATTACAAGGTTTACATAATCCTGGACCAGGCTGTATCCTGAGCAGCTGCTGTGGTGGTCTTGGAGAAGTAGAGAGCATGTGACTGATTCCTGTGATGCTCCAGGGACAGACGAGCCTTCACTAACGTATAACGTTCTCCAGCCTTCAGCACCTAGACTGCAACTCAGCACAAGACGTTTGGCCATAGGAGAAATGGTCGTGCCCAACTGAGCCTGGTTTCTCTCAAGGTTTTTTAAATTCTTCACTTTGGCCTATTGGTGAAGTTTTTTGTAGCCACTGGCTTGCAAGGTTCAGGACCTGCAGAGCTGCGCATTGATGGATTTGCTCCTCAGTGTTTGGACTCTCAGTGTTGAATATTAAACCACACTAAACTGAGCTAAACTGAACAAACTCTGAAAACTGAATTGACACTGTTTTAATTTACTATAATATTCTAAGTGAAGCTGCTTTGACACAATCTACATGGTAACAATCTACATCCACTCATTGGTTTTTCACTCTGTTAGAGTAGTATGCCTGTTTTATCCAGAATTGATTCTTTCTGATGGCATTTATCTCTTTAAAAATAAAGGACATCATCATCCTCCACCTCCTCCTCTACTCTGGTGTCCTTGACCTGTTCTTCATCATCATCTTCTTCTCTTCCTCCATCTTCTTCTTTTCTTCCTCCACCACTCTGTTGTCCTTTACTTTTTCTTCCTTGTCTTCTCTTTCTTCACCACTCTATCCATCGAAGTTTCTGATTAGTGTGTGATAAATTTTGAGCCGTGCTCAAACTGAGCTCAAGCTGTGCTGACTTGAGTTAACATTATTGAATGCTAGTGCTTTGTAACGTTGGGATTTTTGTGTAGACAGTTCACCAAACATACAGTTTGCAGTTGCAGTTCACCAACTATAACTCTTGTTTCAAAGCAGGGAGCAGTGGTTAAAGTTTTGAGAAATGGATGTGCTTTTTCAAAAATGGCATTATAGTTTTGAAATTTTAGTTCTAAACAATGGTTATAGTTTTTTTTTTAGCAATTAAGAAAAACTGTAATAAAAGACAATGTGCTTACCACATAATAGCCCTTCATCTCTTATAAGCATTCGGGCCATGGCAAATGATTCCTCATCCTTGGATTTGTACCATTTGTCAACCAACTGAAAAAACATAGTGGTTTCAGTGTAGACCTAAATGATTTGGATTTAACTGGTTCTCAAAAATAGGATGGTGTAAGAAAAACTTGAATTCTATCTCCATCTACTGGTAATGAACAGAATAGCAAAAAAAGTGTAACTGATGTAAACATACAACATGGCCCTTGATTTCATGTGTCAAATTTTACAGAAGAACAGATAAAATGAAAAGGGAGTATAATACAAAAATACAGTAATAAAAAAAATTAAACAATCATTATGTTTACATAAATGGTTGTCTGTGGTAGGAGTGAAAAAAATCTGCAAATAATATGTTAGTGTAAAAACAAGAAAAAGTACATTAGATCTACAGTATCTACACCCTTATCTAGAGTCACTCACAGATCTATCGAGAACAGTGGGTATGAAGTCATATCCAATGCCCTCCACCTCATACTGGTTTTTATCTGTTCGGTTCAGTTCATCAGGCTCAGCAAGGATTGAGCCCTCTGGGTCCACAGCGACAATCTAGCAAAACACAGACAGACTTCATTGTTGAGATTTACCCTGCCACATCAGGCCCATTCACATTACTTGGGCCCAATCACAAACTTATAAGTGGTAAGATTACAAAATTGCAGCATGCTCTTATAAAATTAACACATATATATATATACACACACACACAAACAAAACGAGCTATGTATACCTTAATATTTGGGCACTTTTCCTTCAATTTCCGAGCGATGCCAGTAATGGTGCCACCTGTGCCAGCTCCTGCCACCAGCATATCCACTTTCCCTGGACAAAGGTGAGTAAATTATTTAAGACAACAGGACAAACACAGCAAGAGTGAACTCCATTTGTGCTGCTAAGTTCAAAAGCAAAAAAAGACAAGAACAAAGTCAGAGAGAAACAATGAAAAAATAAAACAACTACCATCACATTGCTCCAGAATTTCCTCTGCAGTGGTGTCATAATGAGCCAGGGGGTTGCTGGGATTGCGATATTGGTCCAGAATATGAGAGTTAGGGATCTCATTTTTCAAGCGCCAAGCCACTCCCACATGTGACTCTGGGGAGTCAAACCGAGCACTGGTGGGTGTTCGGACAATCTCTGCTCCCAAAGCTCTCAACACATCAACCTATGAAAAGACTCTTGTATCACTTCATCAAATCAGGTTTTGCTACAACTGGAATTAATTTTACCTTTTCCATGCTCATTTTCTCAGGCATAACAATTATACAGCGATAACCCTTTACCGCTGCAGCCAGTGCAAGACCAATACCTGCACAAAGTGAACACAACCAAACTCCTTAAGACCTGAATATTTTGCGCATATATAAGGAAAAAAAAAACACTACAAAAGGGCACTATGATTAACATAACATTCAAAATGATTCATACTTGGAATGGTGAAATGTAGATGACAAAAGTATCAGTATATGTATATGTATAAACATAATAGTTTTAATAACTCATTTTTTAATATCTTTGCCTTGATGACAGTAAATAATATTTTACTAGATATTTTTCAAGACACTTCTATACAGCTTAAAGTGACATTTAAGCTAGGTTAATTAGGTTAACTAGGCAGGTTGAGGTAATTAGGCAAGTTTTTGAAAAAATATATATAGCTGAAAGGGGCTAATAAGTTTGACAATATTTTAAAAACGAATTAAAAACTGCTTTTATTCTAGCCAAAATAAAACAAATAAGACTTTTTTCCGAAGAAAGAATATTATCAGACATACTGTAAAAATTTCCTTGCTCTGTTGAACATCATTTGGGAAAAATTTGAAAAATAAAAAAAATGCAAAGGGGGGCTAATAATTCTGATTCTGACTTCAACTGTATGTATGTATGTACAGTATGTATGTACAGTATGTATGCATGTATGTATATATACACACACACACACACACACAATCTCAGTTTTCTTATGTGTATGAAAGTTATCTGTTCACAAAAGCATTAAATCAATCAGATTTCAAACTCTCCACCATGGCCAACACCAAAGAGGTGTCCAAAGGATGTCAAAGACAAGATTGTAGACATGGAAGACTGATTGAACTTTCTTCCAAACATCAAATATGGAGATGGAAACATTTAATTTTGTGGGTGTTTTTCGGCCAAGGCAGGGGTGTCCAAGCTTGGTCCTGGAGGGCCGGTGTCGTGGAAAGTTTTGTTCCAACCCCAATCAGACACACCAGGGCTAGCTAATCAAGCTCTTACTAAGCTTTCTAGAAACATCCCTGCAGGTGTGTTGAGGCAAGTTGGAGCTAAACTCTCCAGGACACCAGCCCTCCAGGACCGAGTTTGGACACCCCTGTGCTAAGGGGTCAGGACAACTGCACAGCATCAAAGGGATGATGGATGGGGCCATGTGCTGTCAGATCTTGGCAGAAAACCATTAAAAATGGGATAGATATTCCAGCATTACAATGACCCAAAAAACATGGCCAAGGCAATAAAGAAGTGGCACAAAAAGAACCACATTAAGGTTCTGGAGTAGCCAAGCCAATCTCCAGACCTTAAATCGCATAAAGAATTTGTAAAGTCAGCTGAAAATTTAAGTTGCAAAATGTCAAGCCTCACAACCTTAATAACTTGGATAGGATCTACCTAGAGGGGTCGGACAAAATCATAACTTAGATGAAACCTGAGAAGTGCAAAACTGGTGGCCAACTACAAGAAAAGCCTGATGCCAAAAATGATGCCAAAAAGGATTTGAAGTTGTGTTTTGCAATTGGGTCAAATAATTATTCCACTCATTAAAATGGAATTCAGTTTATACATTTTTACAATATATTTTAAAAATATTTTTGCTGCCATTCTGTCTCTCGCAGTTAACTTAAATCTGCCATTACAATTATAGATGTATCACTTCTTTGTGCATGGGCAATCAAATACATTTTGCCCCACTACATTTAGTGTTTGTGTTACCTGTATTTCCAGAGGTGGGCTCTATAATGGTGTCTCCAGGATTGAGAATGCCTTCCCTTTCTGCATCCTCCACCATACGCAGACTAATACGGTCCTTCACACTACCACCAGCATTAAAGAACTCACACTTTGCCACTGCAGACATACAAAAATAGCCGATGAAATAACTGTTCTTACTAGATCTTGTTGTCACTTATATAAATGACTTCTGCTTCAAGACTTTTATGCAACAATACAGCCAGTTGAAGTTTAATTTTTCAAAATTGTCATAAGGCAAGAATAGGTGTTGTTCATTAGTTAGAACATTGATGAAAGGTTTTGATCCACTTAAAAAAATTACTAGTATATCTACAGTATTACTGTTCAAAAAGTAGAAACAGGAATCAATCACTTACAAAGTTCACACTTTAATCCAAATATCTTAGAGATCTTGTTTATGTGGACCAGCGGTGTGTCTCCAATCTTGCCCAATATGTTGGGTAGAATGCACTCAGCTTTTGTCCTTCAAGAAATTGAAGAAAGTAAGCAAGCAAGCAGGAAAGAAAGACTTAAGGAAAATCCCCACATCAGACTTTTTTTTTTTTTACAGCAATTAATGACATTTGGCTAAAAGCAGTTAAAATATACACAATTAAACTGTGACTGAATGATAATAATAAAACTATTCTACAGTACTGTATCAGATGTTGTATTATCATTATTAGATGTGGTATTATTACAGTACTGTATTATTATGATACCTTGATACACAGAACACTAATACAGCATAGAGAGCAAATATTTATTCACAGAAATTAAACAAAAATCTGTTTATATGAGGTCACAGCCATAGTAACTCAGTGATTCTTTTCAGCCTTAATAGACCCAGCAAATAAAATCCACTCATCTTTCAAAGAGCAGGAATTTATCTTTCCTGCTGTTAAATACAGTCCTACGTGAAGAAATGTCATCTAAGTCAGTATTTACAAGAAGTCAATATGAAAAGCCGATTTCTTAAAGAAACAACAGATATTTTTGCCACTTTTATTCAAATAGCAGACAGATGCCCCCTTAGCAAACTGAACCGAACCATACCGTGGGCCCAATAATGTGAACTGAACTGGATCGTGGCATCTGTTTATCATTATACCAAAGGATGACATTAACTTTTTTGATCACCAGCCACTGTGGCTAGTGGTTTTCCAAAGTTATTAGCTACTGACTTTATATTTTGTCAAAATTTTGTTGTTGAGAAAATATATTTTAGAAATTTGACTTGGGCATGTTAAAATTATACTTGATTTCAATATTGTGTCTACATGCCTCTTCATTCATTTTACTTTGTTGTTTGTTGTTTATCACCTTACACTTAATACAAATATGCTTCTTAAACATATACACACATATACAGACATTACCTTTATGCAATAAAATTGCAGGTTAACTATGTCTATATATAATAACTTATATTTGATTGTAACCTTTTCTAAAATAATATAATAACATGCACCTTTTGTAAGGCTGCTTTGAAACAATAATTATTGTAAAAAGCACTGTACAATTAAATTTAAATCCAATTGAACATTGCGCAATGAGCATGAGCAAACAGTTTTATACAGTACGTCACATTGCAATCAGTTTTTATTTCACATTACTTTTCAGAACTCAACACTAAGTATTTACCAAAGTTTTGTCCGAACATACCAAACTATTTATTTATAAGCAGCAACATTTAAATATTGCGTCAAAACAAATTAAATGTAGCTTTATACATAGAATTTTAATTCAACAAAAATGTTCTTAAAAATACAGTTGACATTTAAAACAATTATTGTCATTTATGTAATGTATGTAACTATGCACAGTAGTCTGAGTCACAGATCACCAGCTAACTATACATATATGGAGAGTTAATCTCTTATTAAAGCAATGTTATTATAAAGCATGATAATCAAGCCATATTAACAAAATTTCTGTAAAAAAAAAAACATATTGTGTGTGATAATAAAAGGATGATCACACGCACACGGTTAACATTAGACCCATTCATGATGAATGGGTAAAGCAAAAGTGGCAACCACTGCTTCTTAAAAATATGTTTTCGTAAAAATCTTGAGCTCTTGCAAGCAGCAGGACTGTGGGTGCACAAGCATCACTTTTTGTACAGTCTATTTCAAAGAGAACCAAACACAACAGTTTTGTTTCCAGGCATGGCACCAAAGCCCTCGTCAGTGAGTGAGGATATGCTGTCTCGCCATGCGTATGATGATCCTTTCATTTGGTATTCACCTTTCTTTTGCTCGTGTGAACAGATCAGGTCAGGTCAGTCTTGCTGCTTCTTAATTCTAAGTTTGCATTTGCATCCACATCCATGACAAGCAGTCATAAACTTAAACTCTAATTGTTAGTGACGAGCCAGCACTAGCCCAATCAGTCAATCTAGCCCAATCAACTTATAGCGACATTTAAAGGCTTAACTGGGTTAATTAGGTTAACTAGGCAGGTTAGGGTAATTAGGCAAGTTATTGTATAACAATGGTTTGTTCAGTAGACTATCAGAAAAATAAATTTAGCTTAAAGGGGCTAATAATTTTGATAAATTTTGATATACATACATACTTATACACACACACACACACACACACACACACACACACACACACACAGCTGCAGCTAATTAAAGTGCTGTTAAGCCACCCATATTTAAGAAGAGAAAATGGCCAGCTCTGACTGAGAGAACTCCACATACTAACTCTCTATTTCTCTTCAGATTCCAGCAACTGATCAGCTAAAAACTCATCCGCACTTCTTTGCAGAGTGGCACAATCCTCTGGAACACTTTCACCTTCCTGGCCAGAGGACACATCGGAGTAACGCCATTCACCTCTTTATTCATTAAAAAATTGAAAATAAGGCATGCTCTGGGGAATCTATGTTTACCGTACCAGCTGTGTTGTATTCCCCTTTTTCTCACCAAAGCTAGTTTAGAATGCGGGTAGATTGAGTGGATTATTCAACACAAACCTGTGAGAAACACCATTATTACCATCAGATTTGTTTCTCACAGGCAGGCTACTCGCTCTCTTGTTCTCACTCCAACTACTTCTGCCTGGAATCAGAGATTCCCCCTCAGCTGACGTCATAGAGTACTTCATTCACAAACTGATGGATATTTAGACCTGGCAACAAATGTTCTTGGAACAGCTAGATGAGGGGAAGTTCATTGGCAAAAAGGGTATGCCTGGCGATACCTCTTTACTTTGGTGTCTAGCCCCATCCAGTGAAACCTATCCTAGATCCTATATAGTGTTGGTGGTCTCCAGCTGTCCAGCAATCAGATGGGTGTGAGCGAGTTCCAGAACTGTGGCTGTCTTGCACTTTAGTACCACTAGCCGGGACTTTTTCTGTCGCTCCGCAACACAGTACAGCATACCAGACTGAATAGCCTTGTATGAGGTGAGGAGCTGAAAGTCACATGAGGTTTGATCTCTTTGGCTTTTCCTGAATGACCTGGATTTGTTGTTACAAGTCAATAAATTCATTATATATATACAGTGGTAACAGAAAGTATTCAGACCCCCTAAAGGGTCACTGTAGTAAAGTTTGATGTTTTGTGGGAAGAAAAAGACAGGGTTGGCGAATCTGTGATATAAGGTAAGTAGAAGTCTTTTTATTTTCAATTATAACCACCACACGTGAAGCTGTGTGTGTGAGTGACTGCTCTCTTCCTTCTCCTAAAGAATTCTCCTTCTCCGGTCCAATCACTAGAATAAACAGGTGTTATTTATTATTGCTGATTGGACTGCTGATTGGCCGCCAGGCTCCGAGCATGCTCTCCCCCCTCATTGGATGTTCGATCATGCTTACCTCTCCACAGTCACAAAACCCCAAAACACATTTTTTTATCATTAATTTATGAGAAAGACTTTGAAACAATCAGAGTGCTCTATTGTGAATGAGTTGCAACTTAATCAATATGCATGATATAACTTCAAAGACTCTTTTTACCTGTTGTGGTGTTCAGAAAGATGTCACATTGTGCTGCTAACTAAACAAATGGAAGAAGAAGAATTGTTGGGTGACATGGGTTGTCATTGTTGCGTTAACAAATGTGCCGCAATGATGTTTTTTTTTTGCATCTGGAAATGGTGAAATCTGAATTTATGCTGCTCTACAAATGTAAAGAGGTAAACACCTTAATCAAACTATTACCATCATGTAGGATTTTCGCTGCGTATGATTTTCAGCACCTTGAAACGGTTATCATCTCATGCCTACTCAATACTCTCACCAAAACAAAACTGGACTCATCCACTTTCCAGACTTTTTTCAAACTAGAGGTGTGAAAACACCCTGCTGAGACAGGGGTGGGAGTATTTGTTAATAAAGCTACATTTTTGCAGCTTTATTAAAAAAAAGAAAATCTGGAATATCACATAGCCCTAAGCATTCAGACCCTTTGCTGTGACACTGAGGTGCTGACCATTTTATCTGATCATCCTCGATATGGTTATACACCTTCATATGAGTCCAGAAGTGCTTGATTATACTGATAAAACTTGATTAGGAAAGCCACACACCTGTCTATACAAGATCTTAAGCCATGTTCAGACCAGAAACGCAAGCTCATGCAACAAGTTTTGCAGTTTGCTTTGTTGCAAAGTTCAAGCTTGTTGAACTCTGACCTGTGAAATCACATCACATGACTGCGTGAGACCAATCGAAGATCAAAACATGACCTCTCTGGACAGAATTTAAGTATGGAGCAATCGCTCAATTTTTTAAATGTCTAAGCATCTAGTTTAATCCTGTCTCTTTAGCATCGCCGTACAACCGAATTTTGCATGCGCAAACTATAATGTGACCACGGCATTACAGCTCACATTACATGTCAGAACAAATGAGAATCATTTCAAAGCAACTTTCCTGAAGAGCTCAGAGACAGAAGTAGGACAAGGTTATAAAAATCTGGCCAAGGTCATAACAAAGATTCATAAAAAAGGTAACAAAAAAAGGTTCATAAGAGAACAGTGGCCTCCATAATCCTTAAATGGAAGACGTTTGGGAGAAGAGCCTTGGTGGGAGAGGTAAAGTAGAGCCCAAAGATCACTGTGGCTGATCTCCAGAGATGCTGTCGGGGGATGGGAGAAAATTGTAGAAAGTCAACCATCACTGCAGCCCTCCACCAGTCAGGGCTTTCTGGCAGAGCGGAAGCCTCTCCTCAGTAAAGTTTGCTAAAACAAAACACCTGAAGTAATCCAAGATGGTGAGAAATAATATTCTCTGGTCTGATGAGACCAAGATACAACTTTTTGGCCTTAATCCTAAATTGCATTTGTGGAAGGAAACCAGGCATGGCACACCACTTGTCCAATACAGCCTCAACAGTAAAACATGGTGGTGACGGTATTATGTTGTGGGGGTGTTTTTCAGCTGGGGGGACAAGACAACTGATTACAATCGAGGGAAAGATAAATGAGGCCAAGTCCAGGGATATCCTGGACAAAAACCTTACCTAAAGTGCTCAGGACATCAGGCTGGGCAGAATGTTTACCTTCTAACAAGACAATTCAATTCATCTTTATTTCTATAGCAAATTTAATTCATCTTGTTGTCTGTATCTAACAACATATTCCCCAACTTTGGTCTTTTGAATCTAATACATGTTCTCGGGTAATGTGTTTTGCCTGATAAGTTAATAACTAATGTAACCACGTACATTCTGTATATTGAGTAATTCCTTGCCTTTATTTACTATAATGTATAAACTTATTGTTCGTTATTCTTTTATAATGGCCATTATTGATTATTAAACTGATATTAAGCAAAAGAGAGGGCATGTTTTGTAATTTCAATGAAAATGAAAGAAGGCAGTAATGTTAGACTCTGTTTTGTTATGAATACGCATGCAATGAAGATGACGCTCATATATGCAGCACAATGCCTTAAAATTTCTGCTGTCTGTTAAGTTGTTAATATTAAAATAGCAGTTCCTTCATGTTTTTATTTTATTGTTAAGAAAATTAAACAATGTAGCCAGGATGGTGTGAATAAAGTTATAAGGTACACCGTTCCCTTTAAAGATTTACCCGACATGTTCTCGGGAGTCTGTTTTCCATATCAAACTTGCGAAGTCTGAACTTACAAGGAGAGGATGCAGAAATTTAACTGTGTGTAGGTTACTTAATCTTGAGGAAAAGCCCCATTCAGAGAGGCGAACTTACGCGTTTTCAAACTACAACGCATTAGTGATAACGGGGCTTGAGTGCGGGGTCTGTGTCGTGATCTGTTGCTCCATATTGCAATGATGGAGAAAAGCTCTTCAAACCCTGGTCAGTCTCTTGCAATTAGGAGGGGGATGGGTAGGTCTGGCATAACACCTACTTCCAATGTGTGTATGTATATATATATATATATATATATATATATATATATATATATATATATATATATATAGAGAGAGAGAGAGAGAGAGAGAGAGAGAGAGAGAGAGAGAGAGAGAGAGAGAGAGAGAGAGAGAGAGAGAGAGAGAGAGAGAGAGAGAGAGAGAGCGCGAAGAGAGGATTTTTTCAACAAATTTCTAAACATAATAGTTTTAATAACTCATTTCTAATACCTGATTTATTTTATCTTTGCCATGATGACAGTAAATTATTATTTAGTAGATATTTCAAGACACTTCTATTCAGCTTATAGTGACATTTAAAGGCTTAGGTAAGTTAATTAGGTTAACTAGGCAGGTTAGGGTAAATAGGCAAGTTATTATATAATGATGGTTTGTTTTGTAGAGTATTAAAAAAAATCTAGCTTAAAGGGGCTAATAATGTTGACCTCAAAACGGTTTTTAAAACATTTAAAACTGCTATAATTGACACCAAAATAAAACAAAGAAGACATTCTCCAAAAGAAAACAAAATGAGATATTAAAACCCATATGATGTCTTATTTTCATTTTGTAGAAAGTAACAAATGTCCTTCAGGTAAATGCATTAGGGTAAAAGTATAGAATTTATTGAAAAAAAGTAGAAGAGTAAAAGTTAAAGTTACCAGAAATTTAAATGCTGAAGTAAAATGCAGATACTGTATATAATATAAATAGGCATTATTACTTTACACCTTTACATTACACCAGCGGTACTGACGTACTAACGTATTCACCATTTTACTACAGTGGTAGTACAGTAATAATTATGCATTACCTGGGAAAGTATGTGTGAGGGGAATTTTCATGAGACATTCCTGGTTTCCATGTACATCTGCTTGGCAGGTCAGGACGAATCCATTTAGGGTCAGCAGTGGCAATTTCTTTATTCAGCTGTGGGGGTCTGTCTCCATCATCCGCACCCAACTTCTTATCTACATTATTCGTGCCACTGAGGTTTTTGCCCAAAATAGGGCAGGGAGAGGTGTCATTCTCTTTGTTGGAGGGGACTGAAGGCATTATTCCTCAATAGTTCCCTGTGAAAAGTTTAAATCCAGAATAATGTTCACAAAATATTTAACTTATTATAATGTAGATTTTGACCACCTTGAATTTTCCATATGTTGAAAGAACATGATTGGAATGAAATATGTTACATTTAAGATAAATAATTGAGTAATTATATGTAATCTTAATTTAAAGTATTAAAAATTTTATACACAATTATCCAAGATTAATTAAGATTATATCCGCTGTCGCCACTGCCTCGCATGGTTCAGGATTGGTAGAGCTACGCATCGTTGAATTTGCTCTTCAGTGTTTGAACTCTCAGTAATGATTAAATCACACTGAACAGAGCTAAACTGAACTGAACTGAACTTAAACACTAAAACCTGAACCACACTGTTCCAGTTACTATGACCATTTATGTGAAGCTGCTTTGACACAATCTACATTGTAAAAGCGCTATACAAATAAAGCTGAATTGAATTGAATTGAATTGATTTAAAAGGCCAAACTCTAGAAACATTGTATCTGGCATACTTTCAGGTTTGCTGACATAATACTTATGCCATTAGCTATAATGACTAAGACAAAAAAAAGTGCGACCAGCATAGTTTAGATGTTTTGTTTCGATGTTGTTGTTGCTATTAAGAAATTGTATTCAGAAAATATTTAAGTTGAGGAAACCTTTGAAATGAATGGAAGGAAAATATCTTTGCATTCAAGTTACATTTTTTTTAATCAGTTTTTGCTTTTCTGGTGAATTAAACTAATTCTTTTATTCATTTTGCTTTGACTTAGCCCTGATTATATCAGGGCTTACCACAGCTGAATAAACTGCCAACTATTCCAGCAGATGCCCTTCCAGCCACAGCCCAGTACAATAAAAACACCCATTTTTAGTCTGTTATTGAGTCTATTTCTTTACTTGTGTAAATGTGTGTATATTTATATTTATTCAGTTTAAACTAATTTCAGTAATAATATTGACTAATATGAGTTTTTATTAACTAATATGAAAGTGTTTATTTGATTTATTTACAATACAGTTTGTAAAGTTATATTTTCTGACTTTTAGCTGATTATTATATGAGAGACTTGCTTTGTTTACCAAATAAGTGGATCTAGATGGATTTGCATTGTAAACATTTAATGACAGTTAAAAAGCTAAAAAGCTATTATTTTAAATTGCATTTTTTATTGTGTGTATATATTTATTTATTTATTTTATTATTATTATTATTATTTTTTAGTCACACACAACCCCAAATCAGAATAAATTCCCCAAAAAAGAACGGGGCGAGGCTTTCAAACATAAAACTCACGTTTCTGTGTATTCGCATTTTAAAGAAAGCCTACAAGTTTTATTACATGGAATCAAATGTCTCCCAAATAGGTTGACTTTGAGAATATCTGGCGACCCTTGACGTATTCCTACAAAGTATGAGGAAGTTGGTCCACGTGCTCTTACTGTGTCCATGTGCTCTTACTGTGTCCATGTGCTCTAGGAAGCGCAAACTCTTTCAAGCAAAAATAGCACTTAACAGGCTGCGATCCCACATACAGTATACTCACTTTCCGTATAAAACTGTACTCCTAAACACTTCTTTAATAAATCTAAAACTGTACAACAAACACGGGGCAACTTCATCATGCACCTGCAAATTATAAACCTAGTGCACGTTTATGTTTTTTGTGTTTTAGTCAGCTAGTCGTTCAAATAAGTCTAGACATTAAATTTCGCTCAGCCGTATACATAAAAAAAACAAAGAAAAGTAATAGTAGCTGTGCATAGCTAATGGTTATACTAACACCACTCCTCACGTTTTTAAAAATCTGATTATTTCAACATATTTAAAGCAGCAATTGATTTATTTTTACTTTACAAGTCTATTTACCAACATTCACAATATACTGTATGAAACACCATTTTCTGCCTAAATATTCCTGACTAAAATTACAGCTGCCTATTACCATTACAGCAGTTCAGCGGCTAAAGAACACAATTACCTTGCTGATATGAGCACCGACCGTCCTCTTTCTCAGTTGGGCACAGAAACACCTGTCATTTAAATTAACGGGGCCGATGGCTTATTTGGAAATTTGCCATTTGTTGACGTGGAATCTGATTGGCTGGTGGGAGGGCGTTATCGTTTGCTCTCCTATCAGCAGTTGGGAAAGGTCCAACTTTTTTAAAAAACACGGAGCAAACTTTTTGCCTACAACTCGTAACTTAGACTGCAATTTAGAAGCATTTGAATTTTAATATTATTTTGTTGTTTATTCAATTGCCAATTTGAATTTTAATATTATTTTGTTGTTTATTTAAATTGCCATTCTATAGACTAATTAGTTGTCAATTATTGACAGAAAAGGTAATATTACTACGTCTTGGATTGTATGCACTAGAAGGAATTATGACATCAGATGTATTTTGAGATAGCCTAATATTGGGGGGTATTGAAATATATTAAGCTTATCGAATAGGACTAACTGAAAAAATGCATATGACTTAGGCTAACATTTTGCATTTTAATTATTTGAATTGCCAGGGTTTGTATTTTAGGTCCTGAGGTTGTTTAATTAAGCAGTGCCCATCTTTAACTCTTTATGTCCTTTGATCTTATATCCAAAAAGTATGTAATTTTGTTTAAATTCCTCTCTTTGTAAAACTAACAATAAAACATACTTTTAAAAAATGTACTACATTTCTGTTATGTTTTTTTCATATTATTCAACTCCCTTTTAGGTGTCAAAACCACTGTTTTTGCCATTTGGTTACCATTAATATATCTTAATTAAGCAGTAGTGAAACAAGGTAAATATTTTATAGTTATTAACGTGAGACTATTATCAATACGAATTTTTACACAAAATATAGCTGTCACACAGTATCAGTGTCATTTTCATCAGTGTCATAACAAATAAAAAAATTCAAGGTAAATATTGCTTGATAAGGTAATATATTTTTTCTGTCATTTCTTAACATGCTATTTTCAAGGGTGTTTTTAAAATGTGAACAAAATGAAGGTAAATAAGAGTATTTGGTATACATGAAATGCTAGTATCAGTTTAAAGCTAATCTGTGAAGCTACCTTTAATTTTTTCACAATAAACTTTATGAATGTAATTTCCACCACACTGTCCTCTTTGGTGGAACAGACAGCATGTGGTGGAAATAACATTTATGGTTACAAAACACAATTGAATTGGATTGTGAAAGTACAGGGGTTGGACAATAAAACTGAAACACTGGCCAATTCATTGTTGGAGGTTTCAGGGCTAAATTTTAGCAGCTGGTGGCCAATCCTTATTAATTGCATATAATGATATAAGCAGAGTGTGAAGGTTTAATTAGCAGAGTGAAGCTTCAGTCACACTGGACTTTTCTCCCCATTGAATTCCGTTCATATGCACGTGAATGCTTCAGACCGGAAACGCAAGCTTGTGCGTCAAGTTTCACAGACCACTGCGTTGCAAAGTTCAAGCTTGGTAAACTCTGACCTGCGAAATAGCATCACCTGACTGTGTGAAATCAATCGAGGGTCAAAATATGACCTCTCTGGACAGAAATTTTAAATATTTTTTTACCTAATCATCTTGTTTAATTCTGCTCATTTTCGCAGCGCCCTATGACAGAATTTTGCAAGCTTAAACTCTAGCGTGACTGCGGCATAATAGCACAGCTTTGACATATTAGAGTTCAAGAGAAGATAAATTCTTTGTTTGTGTCTCCCTGGCACATCTGTCACGAAGACAGCAAGTCTTCAAAATATATCAAGAGCCACAGTAATCAGAGTAATGTCAGCAAACCACCAAGAAAAAGAACCACATCCAACAGATGTAACTGGACTCAAGAGGAAGCGGTTTGAAAGGAATGTTCAGGTGCCAATGAATAGGAATTCATATGTCTTGTAGAATTTCTAATGAATTTATTACTCTCATTTATTTGTTATTTGAGTGATTTCAGTATTATTATTATTATTATTATCATTATTATTATTATTATCTATTGTAATAATTGTATTATTACTCATACCTGTGGTATTTTTAGTACCCGTGAACTTCAGCTGAACTTACAGTTGACAGCTCAGTGGACGGTAAACAAGATATATTGTTGAGCATTGTGTTTTAGCATCACATTTGAAACAGGAAGGACATACCTTAACTGGACATGGACCTCTGAAAGACCCTGAGACTCTATTGGTGGTGGACACCTGAAAGATTTAAAATCCCATTTGTGGAGAAGTTGATGGAGGTGTGTAATGTGGGAATTTGGGTTAAGACAAATTAAGACGAAGATATGTAAACTGTGTGCTAGCCTATACTCTGCAGACATTCGAACGACCTGTCCCTGTTGTTACGATGCTGTAACAGTGCTGATCAGTGGTTTGGGCTCCAATATCATGCCTCTCCAATACTGGTGCTAGATGGAGCATCACTGCCAAGGACTTTTGAAGCATTCTGAAGAACCATGTGCACCCAGTGGTTTAACCACCAGTAGTAAACCACTCATCAGCAGTCTTGCTGTGTGTATTGGTTTATTATCACCTTTATACACGTCACTACCTTCAAGATACAATGATTGAACCACTGGGTGCATAAACATGAAAAGTGAAGTGGAAGATCTGCCATGGCCCGCACAGTCACCAGAACTAAATATTATTGGGCACTTTGGGGTTATTTTGGGTAATGAGTCAGGAAATGTTTTTCTCTAGCAGCATCTCATAGTGCCCTTCCAGCTGCAACAGATCACTGGGAAACACCCATGCACTCAGTTACACACATACACTATAGACAATTTAGCTTACCTAATTCACCTATACCACATGTCTTTGGACTTGTGGTGGAAAACGGAGCACCCAGAGGAAACCTGCAACAAACAGGAACATGCAAACTCCACACAGTAATGCCAACTGACTCAGCTGAGGCTCGAACCAGTGGCCTTGCTGTGAAGTGAAATTGATATTCACTGTGCCACCAGGCAACCCCACTAATGAATTATTATGCTCTAAAACCAGACCTTTCAGTTACATTGTACAACCCCTGTAGATGTGTAATCTTTTTTTTTTTTTATTCATTTATATCATGCTCTATTTCATGTACAAATTCAATTTATTTATTTTCTAATGAGCTCTTAAGCAAATTAATTTAACATTTTTGAGTGTGACAGGTGTACAATTTTGCGTTTGGTCCCTATGGACTAATTTATTTCATTGACAAATGTATAATTATTTCATAGATTGTGGAAAGATTGGTTAAACTAGATACAAAAATTATTTTTGACTGCCATAATAATTTTAATTTGAAATAATAGCTGTATATTGAGGCGTGGCGCAAACTACATTAGTTCATTTCACAATGGAAAAAAATGTTAAATATTAACAGTTTCTCTTCTTATCTGAGTTTGTCCTCTAACAGAGTTGAAAAGATCTTTAAAAAAATACTTTTTTTACTCAACTTCACAAGGCAAAAAGTGCACCATAGTTAAAGAACAGTCCACTTGCGAATTCGATAATGAAAGAAACACTATTGAAAGTGGTTCTGATTTGTCAAGTTTACCTGCTTTCAGCTTAATTGTCAAACATGTTTACAATGTCACAGTTTTTACAAAAAGAACATTGTATTGGCCTACTGTATGAAGCAAATAAAACAAAACACAACATCATATCACATAATTTGTTTCGGAAATAAGCAGTGTCTCAAAGTCCATATGAACGCATCTGACTGTCAGTCTTTGATATGACTGGACTTTGCTCTGCAGCACACCTGGATGCTCATGACAAGAATAGCTTAGTTATCTTTTTTTAAGTGAGGTGTAAATCGCCGTCATTCAAGAATGAATTATTTTCAATGAATTATTATCAAAATAACACATTGTCAATTTTGAGACCACCAAAAATTTCACAAATCATGATTCAGGGGAGCCCATGCCTTAATTAGGGGACCCAAGCTACCCCATAGTTTGCACCCTGATTGTTGGCTTCAAAGTGATTTGACCTTAAAAGGCAGAACATTGCTTACTACAGCAGAAGGCTTATCTAGTTTAGCGTATGCTGCTCAGTCTCTTTTGTGGATAAGCCCACATGCAAAACTATTAATCCTAATCCTAAATTTTTTGAAAAAATAAAACTCATTATATTAAAAAATCATTATTTTATTTGTCATTATTAACAAAACCAAATTCTATATTAAATGTTTTCCCTCAACCTGTTTTTTCATTTATTTGTGGTCTTCACTTTCTTCCTATGGATAATTTCCAAACTCCCAATTAAGCTTTCTTATTTTCATCAACAGGTGCTCCTATGGGCATTAATTTATAAGCAATTTTTGTTTAATATTATTATTATTTATTAATGATAATATTATTATTATTATTATTATTATTTTGCTTATGTTTCATTTGGAACAATAAAAACATTCGATTTAAGAACAAATAACTATAGTAACTGGTTCAGTAATAATTTAGTTTTGCTGCAACAACTGTTTAATAGTAAATGTCTTTTGCTCAATTACCCAGATTTTTTCCCAAATATCAGATACCTGTAACTGTAACCACCTTTAACGGTGGAGATGGGAGCCATTCTATCTGGCTTATGTATACTTCTGAGGAACTGTAGATGTTCCTCAACAGTTACAGCATCTTTCTTTAATTCCTGTGATACACTTTTCGGTTAAATTAGTTTTTTTTTTGGAAGAAAGAAACAAAAGTCATAAAATAATCACTCTTTCTTAACCTAACTTCTACTCCACATGGCATATTCTTTTGGGGGAAAAACTTTTTGCTTACTTAAATGTGCGTAAATCTGGTCACTACAACAAAATTTATTTCTCACAAATAAGGTAAAATAGGTTTCTTTTAAACTGATCTATAGGTTTTATCCTCTTAAGAAATGTATACAAAAGTTTAGAGTTGACACTGACTTGAGTTGCTCTCTGGTGGTACATGTATTTTGGTCATGTCATTATTTCAGGAGTTTTTGAATAATATATATTTTTTTTGTCAAGGTGTAGATTCTACCAGAATTTTCTATACAGATAAAAATTATTAATCCAATTTTCAATTCTTTTTTTATTTCTATAGCACTTTTTCAATGTAGATTGTGTCAAAGCAGTTAAACATTGAAGATTATAGTATATTGAAACAGTGTCAGTCCAGTTTTCAGAGTTTAAGTTCAGTTTAGTTCAGTTCAGTGTGATTTAATTTTCACTGCTGAGAGTCCAAACACCAAAGAGCAAATACAAGTCCCGAACCATGCAAGCCAATGGTGACAGTGGCAAGAAACTTCAATTTTTGAAAGTGAAAAAAACCTGTTGAAAAAACCTTGAGAGAAACCAGGCTCAGTTGAGCACGACCATTTCTCCTATGGCCAAACTCCTTGTGCAGAGCTGCAGTCTAGTAGCTGGAGGCTTTAGAAAGCTGGATGCCCTTAGTGGAGAAGCCTGGTGTACAGACTGGCTTTTCAAGATCAATGCAAAGACTTGTCTGTCACTGGGGTCTTACAGAAATTAGTTTCATGGTTTCCACTCCTCAATGACCCCCACATCAGCTGCTCACGATATGGCCTGGTACAGGACTATGGAAACCTCGAGAATAATAAAAAAAAGACTAACATAAGTGCAGATTCTGTTCAAATTATAATGTATTTTGCAAAGTGTTCCCAGCTCTGGTTGCCCTAAATAATGTAGACGAACAATCATTTAGAGGATTTGGATTTTAAAAGTATTTGTGTTTTAAGTGTATGCTAATGAAAAGAGATGTGTCTCTAATCTCATTTTAGACTGACAAAGTGTGTCTGCTTCCCGAACTGTGTTAGGAAGGCTGTTCCAGAGTTTAGGTGCTAGATATGAGAAAGATCTACCGCCTACAGTTGATTTTGATATTTTGGGAATAATTAATTGTCCAGAATTACTTGAACGTAGTGGACATGAGGGGCTATAATACACCAGGAGTTCCCTAAAGCAGGGGTTCCCAGACTTTTCAACTCGCGACCCTCAAAATACCAATGCAACTTGCGAACCCCAATATCCTCTGAAGTGGTTATAAATACAGAAACCTTGCATGCAATGGGGCGCACACACACCAATAAACCCAAGTCTATTCTTCGTTATATTTTTTTAATGTATGTCAGTGCTGTAAATGTGCCAGAAAGTTTAACCTGGTATTATAAAATCAATCTGCTGCATCTGACGCTATTGCTGAGTCTTTAATATAATGTAATTACCTGAGGGGTCGCAATCCAATAGAACTAGTAACTATAAGCTACTATAGTAACTATATACAGTAGTGAATTTAGTAATTGTAAACGACTATTTTTTAGTAGGTTATGGATTAAAATGGTAATTCTTATGGTTTAATAAAAATTAATAGATTTTTGGAAATCACCAGGCGACCCCCTCTTTATTGTTCCGCGACCCCTCGGGGGGTCCCAACCCCCACTTTGAGAACCACTGCCCTAAAGTAGAGAGCTAATAAGCCGTTCAGGACTTTGTATAAAATGTTTAATAAAATTTTTAAATGTACAATATTTAATTGGGAGCCAATGCAAAGATGAAAGAACTGGAGTAATATGACCATATTTTTTTGTTCTAGAAAGCACTCTAGCAGCTGCATTTTGAACTAGATGAAGTTTGTTAATTAGGCCAACAGGGCAACCGCCTAGTAATGCATAATAATAATAATATCGAGAGGTCATGAAAGCATGAATAAGCTTGTCCAGTTGATTTCAGGATCAATTACCAAGAAAGCTTTAAAAACTGTCAAAATATGCTCTGCTCTTAAGATCTTTGTAGTTATGAGTAATTTAAATTAACCATTGCAATAGCAAATGCATTTAATGTTTTTCTTTTTTCCTTTCTCTTTTATTTTTTTTTATGTTATTAGCCAGTTTAGTTAGTTTCCAAAGTTCCATATTGTACTTTACTTTTTGTCAATGTCACTTATTGATTGATTAACTCATGATAAAGCTCTGATACACACTTTGAATAAACCCTTTTTGTCTTTGTTCCTGGCAAAAAAACAAAAAAAAAAAAAACATGCAGGTGTTGCAGGAGACTACACTTCCATCTAGTAAATGAATTATTATTACTCAGTTGTATTTGCCCTTATTAAAATTTATTTTCATTTTATTTATTTGTTACTAGATATTGCCCCAAAAGAGCTTAGAAAATTCTTGTACAGTATTAATATTTTTATCGAATATCAAATACATTAGTTAAATAACCACGATTAAACAGTTTTTAAAATAGAACATCAACAAATGTCTGATCAGATTATCGGAATAAACCATAGACTGTAGAACAAACTAAACCAACATCAATGGACTGCGGCTGTCGTAAAACTGCCGATGACGTCATGGTCTTGTATGATTGGCTCACAAGAGACACGTGATCGAGTTCTCTTGTGCGACAGTTTTCTATGGCGAGTGTGCGCTATGAGTGGTGAGAAGTGGATTAAGTTTTTCGTTGTCAAATATATCGCTGTATTTTGGTTGTTAAATGTATTGTTGTAAGAAAAAACTCGTCGAACTTACATGTTTCATCGCAGTGTTGTTTTCTTCCTTTACTAGTTATTCAAATAAGCAGATACTTGTCTGTCTAAGTTAGCTGGTGCAGGAATTATTTCCAGTAACTAGTCTCCCCTTCGTAATGGTGAGTGTTACAAATTGTATTTCATAAGTGTTATGATACAATCATCAAAGGATTGATTCTGCAGTCTAACACAGAGTAATCTTTCCAAGTAAAGTTACTCTGTACTCACTACATCTTCACAAGTCATTATTAACACCTTTTCTTGCATTGTAGGCTAGTCAGGGTGATGGTTCGAGAGAGTTGTGGTTTGCCCATGATGTTTACTCCCGCTACTGGCAGCACTACCAGCAGGCCATGAACTGGAACCAGAAGCACAAGCGGGCATACAGAAGTGCTTTGGAAGCTGGCTACTTTCAGACACTCTATTCCATGAACCCCTCTGCTACCATGCAGTGTTACTCGGATTGGCATGGGAATGAGTGCCTAAAGAACAGCCACAGAGACAGACTGAAAGAAAAAAGAGAGAACGAGATTACTGGTTCAGACAGTGAGATTGAGGAGGAGAGTTCGGATGAGAGCCAGCTTGAGTGTGATGTCAGCAACATGGACATCTCAGAAGAGCTGCGACAATACTTTGCTCAGACAGAACGACACAGGCAGGAACTTAGTAAGTTTTTAACCTCATGTGTAGAAACTTAATAATAAGACAAAATATTTTTGCACGTTTTACTGCGTATTCAAAGACCTGCCAGGACTTCAAAGTTGCTTGCCACAAATAAACTGCACATAAGGCTAAACAAAAGATAGCAAAGACAAAATGCACAAAGCAATTAAAGAAAATTAAATGACAATCAGTGCTGAGTTGCTGTGGTAATGACACATCGGTACATGACAGAGAAAAAAACAAACCCAAAACATAAATAGTTATTTTCTGGTATGATCGGATTTAGGGCTAAATACATTTTGAAATACAAAATATATAGGCTTTTAAGTCCCTGTCTTACACATTACCTTAATAATATTTACAATAAAGAAAAATATAAAATATAAATGTGTCTGTATGTTACCTGACTTTCTAACTCCCTGCTTATATTTTTTCACTAGTATTTGAGTTAGTATATAGATATGCTTCCACCATTCTTAAAATTGTAAGCACGTTTTTGAATATCTCAAAAAATCTCAACCCAGTGGACCATCTTAGTTTAGTCATTTTGAAATGACTTAGCAAGTTAGTTAATAATTTGTTAGGTCGCGTGGTACGGTGGCTCAGTGGTTTGCATTGTCACCTCACTGCAAAAAGGTTGTGGGTTTTAGTCTCGGCTGGACCAGTTGGCATTTCTTTGTGGAATTTGCATGTTCTCCCCATGTTTGCTTGGGTTTCCTCTAGGTGCTCCGCTTTCCCCCACAGTCCAAAGACCTGCGTTATAGGTAAATTGGAGAAACTAAAATTGGCCATAGTGTGTGTGTGCGTGAATGTAAGAGTGTATAAGTATTTCTGAGTGCTGTGTTGCGGTTGGAAGGGCATTTGCTGCTTAAACATATGCTGGAATAGTTGGTGGTTCATTTTGATGTGGCAACCTCTGATAATTAAGGGACTAAGCCAAAAGAGAATGAATTTGTTAGGTTACCTCCCCCTAAAAATTGTGTAAACCTAATTTGTTTACATTAAATCACAAGGTAATAATATGACAGTGTTTGTTATTGCATGTATCATCTGCACACTCTGAAATGGAAGTACAGTATAATGTCAGAAAAAATGTTCAATGGCTTTCCAATTTGCAGAATTTTGTTTGTTCTTGTTAAATATTTGTGCCAATTTCCAAGTGTTGATTTAGTTTTTTTTAACATGTCAGATGAATTTTTAAAAAAAAATTTTTTAAACATACCTATAACAATATCTAACACCGTTCTATTAAAAGGTGCCAGGATTAAGAGTAACGTTTAAGATTAACCATGATCATTTAAGGTTAACTTGCAAAGGTTAATTTTAGCCTATTATATGACATTCTCTCATTCTTGTAATTCATTCTTGTGACTTGCATTAATAATTTTTTGTTTCTCTGCTATGTAGAAAAACAACAGCAGATGGAGGCAGAGCAGCAGGACTCTTATATACTGGCTGACCAAGACTTGCATAGAGTTTCATGGCGTAGCACTCTGCCCCCTTCTGAGCGTCCAGGGGAACGGAGGACTGCAGAAATGAAGAAGTTGTACGGTAAAGATGCAGCAAAGATTCAGGGGATGGAAACAGCCATGCAGCTTACCTTTGAGCGTAACTGTGATAAAAAACAGCCCAAATATTGGCCTGTTATACCACTAAACCTCTAAGATGATCAGACCCCATCATGCCTGACAGAGGCGTCACAGGATCTTCTAATCAGAGACTGTTCAGATTCTGCTGCTATTGCTGTACAGTAAAGCATTGCATCAGATCAACATCTTTTGAGGGAATTTCTCACAAACACCTTTGTCTCAACATCAACACTTGCTAGGACCTTATAGAAATGGCACATTTAATAAATATTAATTTGAAGATCTAATGAGTAAAACCCTTTCTGGAATTTTGAGTTAATGATTATTCATAAGCCTTCCTAATTTCACTCACTTTTGAGGTATCTGTACATTGACTGTAGGCAGGGATATCCACATGAGGGACTTTTCTATTTTTGTAAAGATTTTCATATCCATAAATTATGAAGACATTGCAAGCACAGATTTCAGTGCCGGTCTTTTCATGTAGTCATTTCTCCCTAACTAGGTCACTGCCTCCCCCACAGTCTTTGGTTAATTGTATTTTGTCTGTCTCTTCTTTTTGCATCTAACATCAGTACTTGATAGAATGCCTGCTGACCTATTCTTTGGGGCTTTTTTTATCAATAAATGTATCACAGTAAAATTGGTGTAGCACTTTTTATAGTAGCTTGTACTTTCTGTTACAGATTATATTTTAAAGTTAGCCTTGAAAAAGCATTTATTATTTTACACTTGTTTTTGACATGTATCTGAAACATTGCCAGTTCAGATGTCTCTGGTTGTGAATAAGTGTTGATTGGAGAGCCTTTGGTTTTAAAAACATAACTTATTAGGTCAGTGTAATTGTAAAAATAAAATCCACAAGGTGCTTCTAAAATTATAATAGTACATATACATGTGTATATAGGTGCTGTTTATAAAGAAAAAAAAAATAGGCCTACAGCTGCATCATTGAACGAAATAAATATAAGTAAAATTAAGAGAAACATGCATTAGTTTATTGCATTACGCATGCTACACTTCTTTCATTGTAATGAAAATGTAAACTAACATTCTTTTTGAGCATGTTGTATAACCATGCATTTACTTTTCCTGCCATTCGTTTCTTAAGGCTACAATAATAATGTATATTAACTAGTACACTCACCGGCCACTTTATTAGGTACACCTTACTAGTATTGGATTGGACCCATTTTTGCCTTAAGAACTGCCTTAATCCTTCATGGCATAGATTTAAAAAGGTACTGGAATATTCTTGAAAAATTTTGGTCCATTTTGACATCATAGCATCACACAGTTGCTGCAGATTTTTCGGCTGCACATCCATGAAGCGAGTCTCCCATTCCACCACATCCCAAATGTGCTGTATTGGATTGAGATCTAGTGACTGTGAAGGCCATTTGAGTACAGTGAACACATTGTGATGTTCAAGAAACCAGTCTGAGATGATTCACGCTTTATGACATGGTGCGTTATCCTGCTGGAAGTAGCTATCAGAAGATGGGTACACTGTGGTCTGAGATGGACATGGTCAGCAACAATACTCAGGTAGGCTGTGGCATTGACACAATGCTCAATTGGTACTAATGGGCCCAAAGTGTGCCAAGAAAATACCCCCCGCACTATTACGCCACCACTACCAGCTTGCACTGTTCATACAAGGCAGGATGGATCCATGTTTTTATGTTGTTGACGCCAAGTTCTGACCCTAATATCCGAATGTCACAGCAGAAATTAAGACTCATCAGACCAGGCAACGTTTTTCTAATGTTCTATTGTCTAATTATGGTGAGCTTCGCTGAGATACTATTTGCTCCAATGAGTGCTACGGAGATCATAAGGTACATTAGTGTTTTCATAGCGAAAGTGTGAAGATGTTTTTCAGACTGAATGAGATACCCGTTGTCTTACAGAATTATTATTGTTAATAGTTTCTTTTTTACCCTCTCTTTTTCAATTTAGCTTATCCATCTTTTAAAAGAGCCCCAATTATGGATTTTTGAAAATGGCCTTCCATGCAGTGTGTAACATAGTACCAAATGAATTAAAACATCCAGCTGAGGTTTAAATCTAAAAGTGCACCGTGTTTAAAAGTATTGATTCTTTCAAGAGTTCACACTTAGATATTGCTTGATAATAATAGCAGGTTTGGCATGCTGTCTCGGGAGAGAACCCTGAGCTTGGAGATAATTAAGTCCAGGGCTCCTGCCTGGTCAATGAGCATGTAAGGGTGTAGGCCTACGAGGTCAGGTAGTTCCCGAGAGCTTCCCCTTATAAAGAAGGAAATTTCAAAAAAAGAAGATGAAGGACAAAGGGGGTAAAGACTTCTGCAGTACTTAATGCTTGGGGTAAACCCTTTGGGAGTCAGAGCCATGGGGTGGGTGGAATCCTCCTGGAGTCAGGAAAAAGGGAAGGGGTGGTGAGGACTCCTGGCTTGGAAGTGGCAGCACTATATAAACAGTGTATCCGGAAAATATTCATAGCGCTTCACTTTTTCCACTTTTTTTAAGTTACAGCCTTATTCTAAAATGGAATTGTTGCAAATTTATTAATAAAAAACCTGGAAAATCACATAAGTGTTAACAGCCATTGCTCAATACTTTGTTGATGCACCTTTGGCAGCAATTAAAGCATCAAGTCTTTTTGAATATGATGCCACAAGCATGGCACACTGTCTTTGGGAAATTTTGCCCATTACTCTTTGCAGTACCTCTCAAGCTCTATCAGGTTGGATGGAAAGCAACGGTGTCCAGCCATTTTCAGATCTCTCCAGAGATGTAAAATAGGATTTAGGTCTGGGCTCTGGCTGGGCTGCTCAAGGACAATTACCAAGCTGTTGAAAAGCCACTCCATTGATGGCGGTGTGCTTTGGGTCATTGTCCTGCTGGAAGATGAATGGTCGCCCGTCTTAGGTCAAGAGCACCCTTAAGCAGGTTTTCAATCAGGATGTCTCTGTACATTGCTGCATTCATCTTTCCCTCTATCCTGACTAGTCCTCATTGGTGGATTGCTGCACAAATAGTTGTCCTTCTGTAAGGTTCTCCTCTCTCCACAGAAGAACACTGGAGCTCAGACAGAGTGACCATCAGGTTATTGATCACCTCCCTGACTAAGGCCCTTCTCCCCCGATCACTCCACTTAAGGCTGATTTATACTTCTGCGTTAAGCGCACGCGTATGCTACGGCGCTGACACATAGCCCTACGCTGTGTTCGTCGGCGTGGCTGACGTGCACCTCTCAAAAAATGTAACTACATTTCGCAACGACGTGTAGCGCAAGCTCTGTGATTGGTCGGCTTGGTAGCGCTTACAAGTCTGGGCGGGACCGAGAGCCGCGCGAGCCCAATGGAGCGATTGTTTACAAGTGTGGAGTTCCGCGAAGGAGCTCCGGATGGAAAGTTTTGTTTTGTGTTTACCTCATAGTTAAAGTTGTTGCACATCCGCCTGCTCCTGCCTCAAAATAAGCGAGTTTGAGCCACTTGTACATCCCGGAAGCATTCGGAAAGAAAAAAACGCAGATGAAAAAACTCAACACAGAGACACAACACCTCACTGCCAACTAACATTTTTGAAGTGTTAATGCAGACACAGAGACAGCGTGCAAAAGTATAAATGCACAGCTACGCGCGTTGCATGAGCCGTTGGTTACGCCGGTTACTTGACGCAGAATTATAAACCAGGCTTAAGATGGCCGGCCAGCTCTAGAAAGAGTCCTGGTGGTTTCAAACATTTTCCACTTATAAATGATGGAGGCCACTGTGCTTATTGGAACTTTCAGAGCAGCAGAAATTTTTCTGTAACCTTCCCCGGCTTTATGCCTCAAAACAATCCTCTATTGGAGGTCCACAGACAATTGCTTTGTCTTCATGCTTGGTTTGTGCTTTGACATGCACCGTCAACCCTTAGACCTTGTATAGACAAGTGTATGCCTTTACAAATCATGTCCAATCAACAGCATGTTCCACAGGTGAACTCCAATTAAGCTGCTGAAACATCTGAAGAATAATCAATGAAAGCAGAATGTACCTGAGCTTAATTTAGAGCTTCATGTCAAAGGCTTTGAATACTTATGTACATGTTATTTTTCAGGTTTTTAAATTTGAATAAATTTGCAACAGCTTAAATTTTTTTTTTTCACATTGTCATTATGGAGTATTGTGTGTAGAATTTATTCCGCCACAGCGGAATAAACCGCCAACTTATCTAGCATATATTTTACGCAGCGGATGTCCTTCCAGCTGCAACCCATCTCTAGGAAACATCCAACACACTCATTCACACTCATACACTATGGACAATTTAGCCTACTCCCGTACCGCATGTCTTTGGACTGTGGGGGAACCCGGAGCACCCAAAGGAAACCCATGTAAATGCAGGGAAAACATGCAAACTCCACACAGAAATGCCATCTGGGACTTCCGGTTATGAGGCGTGCAGGGTAGTCGCGTGCTCCGCTTGCTCCCACAGCTTTACTTATAATTATCTTAATAGACATCGTTTTTTTTTCAGTTATTGGGCTAACGACAGTTTTCATAACTTACTGCCGTCAATTTGATCGCGTTACCATGTCAAAGGCTAAAGGAAAGCAATCAGAAAAAGACAAGGAACTTTCGTCAGCATCTAGCATAACTATGGCCGACATTAGCGCGCTCCTGGAGGAACACAGAGAGGGCCTGTCAAGCGATTTTAAGTCCTCGTTTGAGTCCCTCGCTTCAATGTTGGACAGCATTAATTCCACTATTGCCGACCACGGGCAACGCATTGGCTCTCTGGAAACAAATGCCACGCTCGTTGACCAGCGGCTGCAGCAGCTGGAAAAAACTTGTTCCGATTTGCCGAAGGATAACGAGCAGCTCAAACTTAAAGTATCTGACCTGGAGGGCCGCAGCAGACGCCAAAACGTACGGATCATTGGCTTACCTGAATCAATCGAGGGTCCCCGCCCAACCGAGTTTTTTTCCAAACTACTTGCGGATGTTTTTGGCACGGATGTCCTTGCTTCGCCCCCCGAATTTGATAGAGCACATCGAAGCCTTGCTCCGAAACCAGCTCCAGGAGGAAAACCACCGCCAGTAATCTTACGCTTTCACCAGTTCCAAGTTAAAGACCTGGTTATCCGCGAAGCCCGTAAACGGGGAACCTTGTACTACAAAAGCCACCCGATACGCCTTTTTGATGATTACAGCCCTGACGTTTTGAAACAGCGTGCTGAATACAGAGGTCCGATGGCCGAGCTATACAAGCGGGGGTACAAACCAGCGCTCCTGTACCCAGCGAGACTGCGCATCACTCTGCCTAACGGGGAAAAGTCATGGATCCAGTCCGCCTCGTCGGCTGTGAAATTCGTACGGGACTTAAGTACGAACTTGTAAGCAATTAAACTGACACCCTTCTCGTTTACATACATATACCTACATATGCCTTGTAGGCTGACTCTAAAAAGGTGATGTTGACATTATTGTAAATAATTTTGACCCCATTTTTTGTTTGTTTTTGAACTGTGAATTCTGGGATAATTTATAAAAGTACATAATACTTGTTTTTTTTGCAATATAATAATGATTATCTATAGAAATAAGTTTGGGGCTTTCTTTTTCTTTGTTTTTTTTCAAGCCCTCATCTCTGCTTATTTGACTATAGCTCT